CCCGCCGCCCAGGAGCTCGTGGACACCGCGTGCGGAGCCTTGCACCATCTTCGGCGCCTGCGACCACATCCCAGACGCTTATTGGGTGTACCAGAAAGGATGGATCAAGCCACGGGCCGACGTCCAACCTCAGGGACTTTCACAGGACGACCTCGTGTGGGTGAAGCTCAACGTGAGCAGTTGGGATCCTCCCGACCGCCCTCTTGACCTCCCTGACGCGGCTGATTTCGACGCCGCTGCTGTGCCCAGGCCGCGCCCCCAGGACCTCTTGGCTGCCACGCGCGAGACGGCCACCTGCGAGGCATGTCTCCAGACGCGCAAAGGCCGGAGGCAAACCAGACCGCACACCTTGGTCTGGGGGGAGTGCTTGCGGGCGCCACGTCCGTTACTGAGCGTTCAGGAGGAGGTCGAAACATCGCAGAGTCCTGAGGAAGATTTTCCCCACGAGCCAGCCTTCGAGAGCATAGACCCCGAGAGCAGGGCCCCCGACCCAGGAGATGAGTGCAGCGGGCTCCCAACGACGACGACGATGACCAGCAGAGTTCGTTTTTTTCAGTTGTCCCGAGCTTGCCCAAGCCCTTTAGAGTGCTTCCCGCGCGCTACGCTGGCCTTCGCCATGGCCACATCTACGTCCGCGACGTGGGGTTCAGCGCCGTCGACCGTCGACGACTCCACCACGGACCCCGGGGAGGCCGAGTTCTACGACTGGGAAGATCTCGAGTCCTCGTTCTCCGCCGACGACGAGCTGGCCGCGGGCCCCGTTCTGCCCGCAGTGGAGGGGGGCACCGAGGCCGCGACGGGCGAGCTGGACGCGCAGCAGGAGACCGAAGACAGCAAACACTCGGAACCCGAGATGGCAGAGGACGACGAGAAGGACTGCGAGGCACCGCGCATTTCGAGAATTTCGCGCCGACGGCGGAGACGATGCCGAGAGCCGTCTCTCGTGGCCCGCTTCGTCTGCCATTTGCTCCCGGCGTGGTGCGCAGCAGTGGCGTACCCAGGGCCAGTCGACCATGTAGAAGGCGATGTTCTTGAGGCCGTGCAGCAGGTCGCCGGCCCAGAGCCAGGCAAGACAGTTGTGCCTCCAGAAGAGATTCGCCGAGCAGTCGGCCCCGACCTCGACTCGTGGATCCTCGCCGCCCAGGCGGAGCACGACTCGTTCCTGACGCGGGGCGCGATCCAGGTGGCGACAGCTGACGATATCAAGAGATATGGCAAGAGGCCGCTGCCCATGCTGAACGTGTGGTCCCGCACAGACCAAAATTTCCGCAAGTGCCGAACCTGCATAGCCGGGAACCTCCAGCAGTTCGACCCCGCCGCGCAGCGCTGGACGGCCCAAGCCGAACCATCCAGCATATTTATGGCTGCCAAGCTCGCTGCCATGCGGAACTGGGTTGTGAGCAAACTCGACGTGAAGGGGGCGTTCCTGAATGCACCGCTGCCGCCTGACGAGCTCATCCTGGTCCAGCCTCCTGCGCAGTGGGTCGCCTGGGGCATCGTTGAGCAGGGCGTGGTGTGGAAGCTGAACAGAGCGGTGTACGGTTTCCGCCAGAGCCCGAAGTGGTGGTCAGACGAAAGGGACCGCAAGCTGAAGCAGCTCAGGTGGACCCACGACGGCGACGAGTTCTACCTGGAGCAGAACGAGGCCGACACCCAGGTGTGGAGCCTCAGACGGAAGGGACACCCACGTGAACTACATGGGCTTCTGTGTGTTTACGTGGACGACATGCTCCTCCTCACCGAGAAGGGGCCGATCAGGGAGGCATTCGTCAAGGCGCTCACCGGTCTGTGGGAGTTTGGGCCCGAGAGAGTCCTCACGCCAGAGGTGTCCTTGACATTTTTGGGATTGGACTGGTACAGGCGCTCGAACGGAGATATCTATCTCACCCAGGAACGTTTCACCGAGGAGTTCTTGGCGAAGCACGGAATGGACCGCTGCAAATCCATCAAGAGCGTCTCCATGGACAAGCTCCCTGAGCAGGAGGACCCGCCGCAGCGAGAGCAGCTCAAGGAACTGCAGGCCCACGCTGGGGCCTTCAATTGGCTTGCCACGCGCACCGGGCCAGATGTGTCTTACTGGACTTCCCTCTTGGCTTCAAGTACCACCAAGTACGGGGCATGGAGCCGCGACCTCGCCCACAAGGTGATCCGGTATCTGGCAGGGACAGCTGACCAAGGTCTTCTTCTTACCGCCCAGGGCGACGAGAACGACTTCCGCGTCTACTCAGATGCGGGGTTTGCCGGGGCAGCCACCCAGTCGCAGAATGGTCTGATCATCTGCTGGGGCGGCTCGGTGATCACGTGGCGCTCCAGCCGGGCAGCCTTGTCGGCGCTGTCCACGGCCGAGGCCGAGCTCTGTGCCGCCGCGCTGGGCTGGCAGGTGACCGAGGGGATACGCTACCTCCTCTCCACGCTGCACCTGTACCCCAAGTGCGTCGAGGTCATGATCGACAACCAAGCTGCTCTTACTGCTGCAAGCTTGGGTGCGACCTGGCGCACTCGCTACTATGCCGTGCGCGCCAAGCGTCTGCTGGAGGAGGGGAAGCAGGGCCGAGTGAAGCTTAGCCATTGCCCCACGAAGGAGATGGTCGCCGACGCGCTGACCAAGCTGGCCACGCCTGAGGTGATCAAGGTCCTCATTGACGCCATGGAGGGCCAGCTCCCTGGCACGGCGGCTGCGCACGCGACTTCGGTGACACCAGGACGGGCCAACAGGAGCGACATGGCAGGCGACGGCCCCTCCACGCCCCATCCTGTGCAGCCTCCACGACTTGGTGCTGCAGCAGCGCATGGGGGAGGAGGGGGGAGCACGCTGATGATTGAGGGCATCGTCCACCCGGACGTCCCGCGAGACCACCCAATGTGGGGGGAGCTCCTGAGGGCCATGTGCGAGAGGTGGCTTCCAGATTCTGATCTCACCTCGTTGCCAGAGGTGTGCGCGAACTACGCCGACGACATGCGCGTGCCCTACGCCGCCTTCGTCAGGAACCACGGCATTACCAACGAGCAGCTGCACGCCGTGATCGAGGCAACGGCGCAGCTGACTGGAGGAGGCCGTGGAGCCACCTCATCTGCCGCTGGCGTATCAGGAGACGCAGGGGCCGATCGTGCGAATCAACGCCCAGACGCTGAAGCTGGAGAAGAGGCCGGCCCTAGAAAGAAACGCCGCAGAGGAGCACCGCGAAACATACCTGGAGCTTCTGAGCGGAGATGGGCGGCACTTGAAAAGGCCATGTACTGACGTGGGCATCCACAGCTTCATTTGTCGTGTACTGCGGATGGGGGGAGCTTGTAAGTCCATCAGGCACGTATCGTTCATTGTGTTGACAGGTCATTGGAGTCATAACTGTGTATGCATATTTTGCCTTGAGAACCTGACTGGAGTCAAAGACGGTGGCACGCATTGATCATAATCTCGAGCAATAGTGCACACGTCACAGGTGACCTCGTTGTCGGCATCCATCCTGCTGCTCTTGACTGTCGGGCGGGCAACCGTTCGACAGCCGAGGAGACGCGCGGGAGCAAGGGCTTCCGTATACTATATACTTTTATGAATTAGTACAATAGTCATGTCATGCATGAACGTCCAGAGCGCAGGACCCGCCGGCCCTCTGATTCCGAGTGTTGTTTCTGGCCACGAGAGGAGGCCATAATGCCCGCCGCTGCGAGATGAGTTCTGCCGGTGCGCCAGCCGTTTTCACCCGCCGATGCGACAAGAGAGCTGCCGGTGCGCCAGCCGTTCAATCTTAGCCAGAGCGCAGGGGCAATCTCACTGCCATTGACATGTGCATGTGTATTATGAATTGTATTGTATTTTCGGCCAGCCTCTGGGGGCCGGCCCCATAAGTTTAGCTTATTGTATTTACAGCCGATGCTCAATAGTGCATTTCGCTCGAAGTCGGTGGTCGGGCGGGGAATCCGCTCGATAGTCGACAACGCTCGCGTCAGAATCAGTGCGGATGTTCTGGTTGAAGGAACACCCGTTCGAAAGCGGATGGGCCGGCACGCCCGGAATTCTGACTTCTCGTTCCTGGTGACAAATCACCAGGGGCAGAATTTAGGACGCTTATTCGGGCACGAAATTGTCACGATACCTTGCGCGACCCGCGGGGCGGATGAGGGTCCGTACCCGTTTTGGCTATAGACGCGCCTCAGTGCTTTCTGAGGCCACACCTGAAAAAACGAACTCTGCAGGTCATCATTGTCATCGTTGGGAGTCCGCCGCGCGACTCTGGCTGTGATCGGAGATGGCGTCCTCCAGTGCGGGACCGGGTGATTCGATCGTCCCTCTCCGCCAGACCTCCCCGAATCCAGCCACGCGAGGAGGGAGGAGGGAGGAGGGAGGAGGAAGAGGAGGCAGGCAGAGGGAGAGGAGGGAGGGAGGAGGGAGGAGAGAGGAGGGAGGAGGAGGAGAGAGGAGAGAGGAGAGAGGAGAGAGGAGAGAGGAGGAGGGAGGAGGGAGGAGGGAGGAGGAGGGAGAGGAGGAGGAGGAGGAGGAGGAGGAGGAGGAGGCGGGGCAGGGAAGAGGAACAGGAGGACGACGAGGAGGAGGAGGAGGAGGAGGAGGAGAGGAGGAGGAGGAGGAGGAGGAAGAGGAGGAGGAGGAGGCACTTTGTGGCGAACGCAACAGGCACTGCCTCAGGATTGCCTAGCGTCAAAAAAGGAGGTCTACGGACGTTCCCGGTGGTCGCGAGACGTCTCCAGAGTCCCTGCAGGGTTACAGAGGCCCGAAACGGCCAAGAACGTCTAACAATCTCTATCCTCGGCCCTCGAACTCCTTCCCTCGCTCATCATCGCTCCTCTTCGGGGGCAGGAAACATGTCCATTTCCACGGCCTCGCGGTTTGGACTCCTCGGCCGCACCTGCAATGGTACCAGGGCGGTGCCCATGAGAGATCGTGCCTCGGTATCCAGACCGCGAGGGCATGGATACGAATACGTTCGTCGCGCGTGACTCGTGACCTCATTCCTCCTCTTCCCCACCGCCTGCGCGCCGTCTACAGAGCTGCTCGAGCAAAGCTACGCCAGGTTCACCCCTACCAGGTTCGATTGCGCATCCCCGCCGTGGTCACCTGGCCACCCCCACAGGGGCCAGGGGAGGCCCAGGAGGAGCCAACACAGGGCATCCTGCTCCCCTTCGCCTCACCTGAGCGACGCAAAAAGTCGAGGTCGTCTTCGCCGACATTGGCGCGTAAGCTGCCCGCGTAAGGTTGCGCGTAAGCGCCCTCGAGGGACGATTACACCTTCCACGCGCAAGCCGTATGTGTGGCCAAGCGACCACGGCACGCGCGCCATGACCTCCCACCCGCTGCTGCTCGCCGCGGCCTGCCTGGCGGCGGCCGCTCTCGCCGCCAGCGCCGACAGCTGCCGAGCCGAGGCGTGTTCCCTGCACCGCGCGCGCGCGCCCGCGGCCGCGGCTTGCCGCTGCGAGTGCGAGGGGGGCGGGCGCGGGGATTCGTCGGCGGCGAGCCCAGGGGGGATGCGAGAGGGGGCAGGCCTTCTGAGAAGCCGTCTCTGGTTCCCGTGAAGGGTTCGAGATCTCCTCAAAAGGCCTGGGGGGGGGGCTTCTGCAAATCCCCGCCCCCCTCTGATGAGGCCTGCCCCCTCCCACTTCCCCTTGGGGCTCGCCGCCGCAACGAGGGGAGGCACCAGGGGGCGACGGGGGGGCGGGTGCTCTGCGGGGGGGCGGTGCTGTCGGCTCTCGGAGGTTTTTTTCGCCTCGGGGTTCCCTCCAGCGGCTGCGCCTGGCCGGGAGCGGTCGGGGGGGGGGGGGGTCGGATCGTCCCGAACGGTCGCTGGAGACCCGAGGTATGACCCGAGAACAACTGCGGATGGAGAGGGCCGCCGCTGCCCCGCGGCGGGCATTTATATGCGTGGCCGCCGCCTCGAGGATCAGTGGTCGGGGACCTCTGCGGGCGGTGGATAGGGACAGGTTCGGGCCCCCCGGGGCTGAAATATATTAGGGGGCCGCATGCGAACCCTACCCCTACCCCCCACGATTTTTGAGGGGGAGGGTGGGGTTCACTTCGCTTGGGAGCTCCCGAGCGAAGTGAACCCCACCCTCCCCCTCAGAAATCGTGGTGGGCAGGGGTAGGGTTCGCATGCGGCCTCTTATATATCCATATCCACCGCCCGCTGGGGCACCATGACGTCGGTTCCCAGGCGGTGCGTATGGATGAATTCCCGCCTCGCAGCAGCAGGCTCCGTGTCGATCCGACCGATCCGATTCGATTCGGTTCCAGTGCGGCCCGATGTTTCTGCAGGGTGCCGCCGTGCACCCCAGAGCAGCTGGTCCGACTCGGTTTCGGTTCCGTGCCGAGGCATCCCGGCCGACGCACGTTCCGATTCGATCTTCGGGGGCGGCAGCGAGGGGGGTGATGACTGGGGGGGTGGATATCATGGCGGGGGCCATGATATTTCCCCTGATTTCATGTCGCCTCTTCTTATTCCATTACGTCCCTGGTCCCCCCGCTGGGCCGCGCACATGCCGCCGGTCATGATGTGCACCCCCCCTCTTGGACACACCCCTCTTGGCCGTTCCCGAGATCTGATCTCTTGATTCGATGTTGCTGGCGGGCTGATCCTGGGACGGATGAGTCAAAAGTCGAGAGCTGGCCCAGGTCCGAGGACCTGTGCCCACTGACAACGAGTGCGGGGGGAGCAACGGGCAGGGGGGAGTAACATGAGGGGGCAGAGGGTGGAGAGCGAGGGATGTGTTTGTGCGTGTGTGTGTGAGTGGGGGAGGTGCGCAGGAGGTGGATGGTGAGACGCAGGAGGATGCACGAGAGCAGGCGCATGAGGCGGAGGAGGAGGAGGAGGAGGAGGAGAAAACCACAGAATTCCCCAATTCCGCGGCAGCGTGCCAGGGTTAGGGGGCTAGCCTCGACCGAAAACCAAACGTTTTCCCCAATCACCCCTTGCATCTCTTTCTAACTCTTGCTGTTATACTCCGTTTCGACCACATCTTCTTCCCCTAGGGACACAACGGTTTTGTCGACCAACCTTGCTTGGCATCGGCGGGAACGAGAACGGCGAGCCGCTGCACGCGTACTAGTACGAGCGGCATGAGCACAATCACTTCCGGATCAACATACGCAGCACCATCTCCACGGCGTACAAGAATTATTGCAAGCGCATCACAGTGCCCAACAGCTACCGCGACATTCCACATCACGTTCCCTCAATGACGATGTCATTGGGAGACAGCGAGCAGATCGGGAACAACGCCACCGCCATGAAGATCGTCATCCAGCCGCCCATGAATCAGAGGAACTACACCGCGACCCATCGCACCGGCGATCGGGGCGGTCCTCCAGCACCTGTAGATATTGGAGCCATACCTACGACGGGATCGGCAACAAACGCAGCGGCAAGCAAAACGCCACGAAGAGCGACGACGACTCCGACAGCCAGAGCTTGAAGGGCAAAACAATAACAACATGAGGCAAGGGCAAGACACAGCCCCAACCCGAACAAGAGAAGACACCAAACACAAGGACGCGAGTCAGGACTACAACGACTACATCACCAACACATCAACAACGCCATGCCGATGAGGAAGATCTACGCCACCAGGAGATTTGATCGGGAGTTGCCACCGGGCGACCCCAAGTTCAGAGAAGAGTGGGTCAGCAGAAACGTGCCGCAACGGCCAGATTGAAGAAAGGCGCAGCCGGCTTACCAATGACCGACGCAATCACGCAGATCCCCTTCAACAGTGCCCTGATCTTCAACAGCACACAACTTGGCCCAACAGGCAAGAGAAGGCCGCCAAACCACAAACCGATGACGAGGCCGACAAGCCGCAAAAGGAAACATCGTCAAAGAGGACACCTGCATTAGCGCCATGGAGACAAACGAGGGTTGGAGAAACCAGCGCAGGGCAGGGTGCCAGCGCGGCGCTCAGGACGCTCAAGGAGGACAACCATCGCATGGCAACGGACATCAAAAAGCAGAGAAGAGGCCAACGTCGAGATCCACGCCCTGAGGAAGCACCTCTGGGAAGAAGAAGCGGGCCAGGATCGTGGCGAAAGCCAGCGCGGTGAGGCAGCAAAGGCCAAACATTACCACGTGGAGCTCATGCGCGATGCCAACAACACCGAGCTTGCCACCGAGAAGGTGGCGGCTCATCCTGAGTTTTTGCAGCCCGCAAGAGGGACCGCTCCAACGGGATCACCGTCGAGCTGCAGAGGGAGCACAGGGAAGCACAACGAAGATTCGCCGACAGGCAAAAAAACAGAGAACCTCGCCATCATGGAGCAGCAACAACTATTGGACGCGCAGAGAGGTGCTGCGGAAAGTGAGATCCAGGAGCACAACAACATCCCGACCGCGCTGGAATGCGATAGGCGCACGAAGAGCTACAGAAGCAAGGGGGAAACATGGGAGCAACGTCGTGTGATTCACGCGACGAATGCCAACGCCTGGTCCGCGACATCAAGCGCCAGGTCAGAACAGGAGACGCCGAGCAGTCGCGGCAACCAACTGAGCTATCTGGAGAAAGTACTTACGAAAGTACTTACCGACATGAGCGAACGCGAGCATCAGGCGCACTACCGCACTACAAAGTCCACAGGCAGAAGGACCAGTGCAGCTCGCGATACAGGTTTCCGACATGAGCGCAGCAAACCGACAGGATGCATTCCAACGCGAGATACAGACCTACAGCCCGAAGGAGAACGAGTGGGCGAACGGGAGATTTAAGAAAGGCGCGCGGAGGAGTCGACCGAGGAGTTTTACCGCGCCCGTCGCGGCGCAGTAATGGATAGAGAGCGCTTCAGCCACGCGAGAACGGTTGACTTCATCGAGCAGGTCCTCAACACGAGCATCCCCATCGATGACGACGAGCCACGGGAATTCTCTCCTCGTGTACTTCTTTTGCGCCCCACCAAGTGGAAGATGGGGGGCGCAGCATGCCCAGAGCCAGATGCGCGCGAGATCACGGGGGGGCGATATTTCCTGGGCACTTGCAGTGCGACCTGAAGCACCAGAGCTTGCATTGCACCCCCCCACTCCACACCGACGGGACCACCGCGGGCCCCGACTCCGCTATCAGCGGCGCAACGGCCCTGCGACAAGCAGGATTGCCCCGCGCCAGTAGCATGGTTCACAGAGCCCACGCCATCAGGGCAGCCGAACCCTCCGACCGAGATCAACAGCATCGGCGTCGACACCCCGCCCCCGATGGCGGAAAGGCATGACGGCGTCGCCGCGGCGGAGGAGATTGCGCCGGAAGCCACCAGCCCATTGCGAGGATTCGCCTGCGCGCCTGGAAGTCGCACTGGCAACGAGGAGCTCAGGCGCGCGAGGGACAAGAAGGGCGACGAGCGGGCCGGGCGAGCCGCGCCAGATCGCGCCGGCAGCAGATGGCGCCTGCGAGCCCGCCGACTCGGCTACGAGCGACGACGAAGCCGACAACGGCGGGGGCGACGTGGAATCCCATTGCCGGTTCCGAAGCGGAGTTGGACCAACAACAGGCCACGCGGCACGCGGCGAGCCTGGAGCACCGCCGCACGCATAGGCCAGCATGACCCATCGCAACGGGGTGACCCCGACCCCCATGCAGATGGAGGACATAATTCTTACCGCTCACCCACGGGCGATGACAGTGGGCCCCCGCGGGGCTTTCCCACCCACGAGCGCGCCATGCTCATGAGGGCCTCCACCAGCCTTCACCCTTCATTCCCTCCTGGCCCATTTTTTTCCACCCACCCACCCGCTTCACTTCGCTAGCCCCCGCCCCGCCCCCTCGTTGTGGCGGGTGAGCGGTCGGGCTATGGGATCGGCGGGGAAGCGGGCAAAGACTCGCTGCTGGCCGTCCAGGCTAGGGCCAGGGCGGTCGCGGCCGCAAGGCACCTAGCAGGCGACGCCACTTCCCAAACAATGTTCCTTCAGCGCTCCCTTCCTTACCTTTTCAAGACGATACCGCGGCGGCGACCCCGGTCGCCTGCGCGCGCCAGCGGTGCGCCACTGCTACAGAAGGCGCAGGCCTCCCCCGCGCACGGTGGACCCCGAGCGGCCCCCGCGGTCGCGGTCTGGGCACCCTGCCCCCGCCTGGCGGGCGAGGGCGCCAGTTCCAGGCATGGGGGGGGGGCGGCGTTCTGGGGGCGGGGGTCCTGTACGCAGGGGGAGAGGCCCTTACAGGGCAGTTTTGAATACATAGGAACTTTTAAAAAGATAGGACGAATTTATTAATGAATGCTTATTTTTTTCATACATTTAGGACGGATTGTGCATATATGGTTAATATAGGACGGATTTGTTTCTATGTTTCATACACGATTAATTTATGAATACATTTATGCATGGACTCATGTTTGTTTTCAATACTGAATCCGTGCATTTCTTTAATACATGATCCGCACGCGGAGCATGTATTAAATACGGCACTGTACGCCTGCTGCTCTGGCGCGGGTGGACCCGGCCGCCCTGCCCGGTGCGAGCGTGGCGCCCTGCCGCCGCTGGGGAGGGCGCAGACCTCCAGGGCTCGGCGGGAGCACCGCCAGGCGGCCGCAGTGGCCAGCGCGCGGGGGCCCCCGACGCCTGCCCCCGGGCGGGGGCCCCTCAAGAGGGGGGAAAAACACACAGAGACACAATGGGTCGATCCCCAGGAAAATGTGGGGAAAGATGGGCCGTGGGGCGGAAGACAAACACCTCGAAACTATGGGAAAATATAGATTGGGAATCCTGTTACCTGTGTGTATTTGTTTGTGTGCCCCAGGGCCCCTTTCAGATCCCGCCACGGACCTTGTGGGCGCCTGTTGGGGGGGTTCCACGAGCAGATGGACCTTTGCGCCTTCCGCCTGGGCGAGCGTGGCGTGCCCGCTATCGCCACTGCGCTGGCCACCCACTGCTCTCCGCCACTCCCTCAGCCCCGTTTCGCCCTCAGCTCGCTGTTTCGAACGCTTCTGCCGCCCCAGCCGCGCAGCCAACCTGCGAGACAGCTACGTACCGCTGGCTCACGCCACGGTCACTGCCACCGCCCTCAGAGAACACGCGCGCCACATCACCCCTGCGCGTGGCGCCAGCCCCACCTCCTCCCACTCCTTCGGTTTACGGATGGCCCTCTCCTTTCGCCGCCTCGCCCTCAGCTCGCTGTCTCGCGCGCCTCTGCCGCTCGAGCCGCGCTGGCAACCGAACAGCCGGCAGTCACTGCACGCGCCACTGCCGTCGCCGCCGCGCGGCCAGGGCAACGGTCTTCTGCCGCCGACCCAGTGGGAAGGCATGCGCCACGTCTTTGGCGCACGTGGCGCTCGCCCCACCTTCTCCCGTGCCTCCCGGATGTCATTGGCCTCCACCTTACAGTCGGGGCCTCGAAGAGGGAACCCTTTTCGTTGGGGAGGGGCTCCGTGTTCCTCAAGTGTTTCGCAGCTTGCCCTGGATTTTCCTCTAGCTTTCGATGCGGAGTCGAAGCTCGGCGTGTGGAAAATAGGGGCCTCGTTCCTTATTTCGGGTTCCTTAGGCCGACGCCTCGACTGTACCCCGCCTCACCCTTGGCTCGCTGTCTCGCGCGCCTCTGCCACCACATCGGGTCTGTCAACCGAGGGGCCAGCGACGCTGCTCGCGCGCGGTGGTGTGCTGTGGGTGTATTGGCTAAAAGACATTTCGGGTGGTGAAGCGCCCACCATCAAATTGCCCCAGCATGCTCTGCCACCGGCACCATCAAGGCATTTCTCACTGCCGCAACTCACATACACCAGGGGGGGAGTGTAAAGTCGGACGGGGAACACCTGCGCCACATCGCCGCTACAGTGCCGTTTTTTTTTTATACATGCTCCGCGTGCGGATCACGTATTAAACATGCAGGGATTTAGTATTAAAAACAACGATGAGTTCATGCATACATTCATTCATGTATTAATCATGTATTAAACATCCAATGTGTTTAAACATCCTATGTATTAAAAACTGCCCTGTACACAGTGTCAGCCCCACCTCCACCCCCTCCCCTTCGTTATCGTGATGGCCTCCATGTGTCTTTCCTCCCTCCCTTCTTTCGTTGGTCTGTCTGTCTGTCTCCCGTTGACACTTCTTACCTGCAGTGCCGTTGTTAGCGCGCGGATCATGTATACAAAATGCAGGGATTTAGTACTATTAACAAACATGAGTCCATGCATAAATGTATTCATACATTAATCATGTATTAACAATCTTGTATGCTTCAAAATCCCATGTATTAAAAACTGCCTTGTACACCGCCCGTGGCCTTTGAAGCAGTGCTCCCGGAGGTCACCTGGCATTCGGTTGACCACCCCCCCATCCAGGGTCGACCAGCCTTGGGGGGGAGGCTCCGTCAGACGACTATGCAGCCATCACGTGTCAGGCGTCAGGAGGAGGGGGGATCGCACGGGCCGAATGAAGAATAGTGGGGAGGACGATTCATTTTCGCCTTGAGATGGAAAGGTGGGGAAGATGAGGCCTGTGGCAAGAGAGGGAGAGGTTGACGTGGAGCGTGAGGGAGGGCGAGAGTGAGGAAAGAGGGGGGTGAGGAGAAGGGGAGCGAGCAGGAGAAGGATCAGACCATGGGTGAGGCGAACGAGGAGAAGCAGGAGTCTGAGCAGCAGGTGGGTGAGGATGTCGATCGCTTCGAAGCGTTTGCGTTGACCACACATGACTTGTTGTTCTAGACATCCGCAGTATGGACGATTTTTGCTGAGTGCACGGTTCTGGGAAGTTACAAGCGTGGGGTTCATAATTGGTGCAACCTCCGTGACAGCTCCCACATGTTGTATATTGTGCAGATAGTTCATGTGTTCAGAAGTTGAATGCGCACAGGTAGCATGCGTGGTGTAAGATGGTGCAGGCGATGCGCGCTACAGCGTAGTTAGTGCATGTACTTGATTGTTCGCGTAGCCTGTTCCCCGTGTGACGCCCAGTGCCAGTGAGCCAAGCACTGCTGACTGCTGCGGCTGTTCAGGGCCAACCCCAGTGAACAGAGGAGCACAACCAGCTTACGCAGATGTCGTCCCAGTCCTGACACGTGAATCGGCAGCGAGGCTCTAGCTCCAATGCAGTCTCGGGCCAGACAACAGGGGGGATACACGAAGTCTGCAGCGTGCAGCTGGCTTCGGCCCATCGGCCGGGTGCTTTCCTCTTGCACAGTGGTGCCTTTCGGGAGGCGCCGGGATGACAGTGGCGCGCTGCTGATGCGCCAACCCTCAGTCTGCGAACCCTCCGTGCGTTCGCCCCGTCAGTCCTCCTCCCCACCTCCTCCCGCCCTTTCTCCTCGTCTTCCTCGTCGCCATCCCATCGGGCATCCCTGCTCCCTCCTCGCTCACTTGCTCCCTGGCCTCACCTTCTCCCTCCATTCCTCGTCCCCCCTCCCCCCCACCTTCGTATTCCTCCCCTTCTTCCTCCCCACCTCCAAAAGGGGCTCCTCTGGTGTTCCAGCGGTGCCCAATCTACACATAGCTAGCAGCTAGCAGCTACAGGTGCTCCCAGAGGAACGCCCAATCCAATCTCTTCTGGTATGACTGCAGAGCAGGGTCCGTTTCGATCCAGTTCGACCTCGGCTTTGTCTGGCCCGATTCGATTCGATTCCTATTTTCCGGCGATCCAATGCGGCCCGATGCTTGCATGGCGTTGTTGTGCATCCTGGCTCCGGCGATCCGATTCGATTTCGACTCCGAGCCGATGCGGCCCGATCCGACGCACATTCCAATCCGATCCGACTTCTGATCCGATGCTGACCGGTTCTGTGACTGCAGAGCGGCGCGAGGAGGTCTGGGGAGGAAGGAGGACGGAGGGAGGAGGGGGAGGAGGACGGAAGGAGGAGGAGGAGGAGGAGGAGGAGGTCTGGGGATGAAGGAGGACGGAGGGAGGAGGGGAAGGAGGAGGAGGAGGAGGAGGAGGAGGAGGAGGAGGAGGAGGAACAAGGTGGAGGGGACGGAGGAACGCGGGAGGAGGAGGAGGAGGAGACGGAGGACGAGGAGTAGGAGTACGAGAAGTAGGAGGACGAGGAGTCGGAAGAAGAGGAGGAGGAGGAGGAGGAGGAGGAGGAGAGCGGCGCGAGGAGGTCTGGGGAGGGCCGGAGGGCTGGAGGACGCAAGGGCCCGGGCTCCGGCCGAGCGGCGGCGCACGCTGTGTTTCCCGCTGCCGCTCGGGAGGAGCCGATCGAGGACGCCGCGCTCCTGCAGAGCAGCGCCGCCGCGCGCTCCAGAGGCGCCCGAGCATGATGGGCCTGTTTTCCACCACCACCATAAGCTGGAGGGGGGAAGGAGGTGGAGGGCGAGGAGGAGGAGGACGCAGAAGAGGAGTAGAAGGAGGAGGAGGAGGAGGACCCCCTCCCCCTCCAACGTATGGTGCTGGTGGTGGCAGATAGGCCCATCAGGAGGAGGCGGAGGAGGGCCAGTGCGAACCCAAGACTCATGAACGATGTTGAAACAAACCCTGCCCCCAGAGCTCCCTCTTCACGGGCCCCTGCAAGGATTCATTTCTACGGGGAAGTGTCCCGTTGGGAGACCACCGCTTCAAGATCCTGAAGCGTGCCAAAACACCATTCTCGAAACTCCAACGCCACGAATCAACTTGACTATTGCGTCTTGACAATCCTAAATCGCGCCAGAACACAATTCCTAGCACTTCAACACCGCGGATTAACGTACGTAACTGTTGCGCCATGGCAATCCTGAGCCGCCTGAGCCGTTCCAATGCACCATTTCTGGTACGTTATCTTGGGGAACTTGTGGAAGTCTGGCAAATGTTTAAGCCGAGTGTGCGCTGCGCTAAGGCGAGCGCCACTTTCTGAAAAGGAACCGCCCTCAACCCGTTAAACTGTTGCAATGTCTTGAGACGAATGTGCGCGGCGCCAGGGCGAGGGCCACATGGTGAAAACGACCCGCCTTCAATCCGTGAACTTCTTGGATTTGTTAAGACGACTGCGCGGCGCCAAGGCGAGAAATGTTTAAAACGACCCGCCTTCCATCCGTGAAATTGCTGCCAGTTGCTGAGTTTCAGAATCATACATGGTAAGGAAGGCTCAGGCGAACCGCCCGACCCGCCCTTACTGGCCTCGGGGTGCGACAGGGAGAAATCATCGAGAAGGAAACTAATGGCGAGAGGGAGGGAGGGAGGACGAGGAGGAGGAGGAGGAGGAGGAAGAGGAGGAGGAGGAAGGAGGAGGAGGAGGAGGTGGCGCCCCATCTTCTATCGAATCCGAGAACTCGACATGGACAGAACGTGTCGAAGGTTCGCCCGGATTTCTTACGTAGATCGGCTCTGGCCCCCCCAGCGGCGCCTGCGGCGCCGCTGCTTGCGCGTTGCGTTCGCCAGGGAGAGGAGTGGTCCAGCGTTGATCCAAGACATCCGCGCGGAGCTCTGAAAGCTTACTAAGTTTCTGCTGCGCTTTGTTCCCTACCCTCCGTGTTGGGTTCTCGTTTTGCACAGAGCATTGTGTTCTCCAACCTAGCCCGTCCTCTCCTCCTCCTGCTGGCTCCTGGAAGGTCCAGTGGAGCGGAGTTGTAAGCGGACCTCGCCCAGACTTCAGGGCTCTCTGGAGAGAGGGGGGGCTGCGAGTTGCGCAAGGGTCGCCATTTTCGTGGGCTCCTGGAAGGTCCAGCGGGTTGGAGTTGTAGACGGATCGCGCCGAGGCCTTGCGGCTTCCTGCGGGGGCTGCGAACTGCGCAGCTCTCGCCACTTTGGTGGGCTCCCCGCAGGTACAGCGGAGTGGATTCGTAAACAGATCCCGCCGATACCTTGCAGGCCCCGGTGGCTGCGACGTGCGAGAATGTATTTCAAAAGCCTTCGTACAATCTACGATTGCGGTCTCTTGCTTGGGCCTCGCTCGGGAGGCCTCTTGGAGCGCTGTTGGGCCCTCTTTGGGCCGTCTTGGAACAATCTTCGGGCGCCGTGGAGCACTCTTGGCCTCGGCAATGCGAGTACGGCGTAATTTGCGAAGGTTTCTGGCTTCGGGGACGCGACTCGTGTTTACAGAAAGGATGATGGCCTCGGGGGCGTGAGTCTCACGTATTCTTACGTGGCCCATACACCCTGGGGAATTCAGGCAACGCGATCCGGGCGTGGTAAGTTGGGCAGTTTGGTGCCCCCCCCTCGCGCTGACTTCAACAGGGTATATAGCAGGAAGCAGAAGCAGGACTGTAACACCGGAGAGTTGAAACTACCATTGGCGCATCCCGATCGTAAAATCAGCCGCCCAGCAGCGCGGTGGTGGATTGCATCCAAGATGCTGGAATATGGATATGGAGCAGTGCGGTTTCGGAGGGGCCTCGCTGTTCCCTGTGTCCTTGTCTTTCTTTGGGCCCCGCGGTGAGTTGCACGGGGCCCCTCCTTTCCCCCCACCTCCTCCCGCTCATTGCGCGCGTGGTGTTCGGCTTCTGGCCTTTTCGAGGCTGTGCCTCAAAATCACGGCGCACTTGTCGAATCATGCGCGCCCACTGCTCGGGAATCAAGACAGGTGCGAGTATTGGGCCATGCCATTTGTCCCAGGAGGGGGGAGGGCGCGCAGGGAGGTATCCAGGAATTGGGGGGGGCGTGGGCAGAAGAGGGATAGGGGAGGGAGCGACGGCGGGGTGTCAAGAAGGGGCCGGTGGCGTGTCTCCAACTCGTCCTCGCCCTGCTGATCGTCCTGTTCCATCCCCTCCTGCTTTTCCTCCTGCCGCTGCCCCTCGTGTTGCTTCATTGTGGTGTTCCTCGTCCAGATGCCCGTGCTTCTGCTGCCGGTCTTCTCCGTCTGGGGTGGAGCAGCACCTTTGACATCGTGCATGTCTGTCCCCTGGCTTGTGCACGAGGCGAACACAACGATGACGTACTCTCAACAGCTACCAAGGCACTGCGTGTCTTTGCTTGCCTCTCTGTATCTCTCTCTCTCTCTCTCTCTCCCTCACTCCCTCTCTCTCTCTCTCTGTGCTTCTCTATCGAAGGCACCTGCGGCGAATCACCGCCGCCCCCTGCCTTCTAGAATCGCCCATGTGGCCGAGCGTTGTGGCAAAAGCTCTGCCAAGCCATCGGACCATGTGTTTCCCCAACCGTTGTGGAAACTCTTCGGGGAACATTTGGTGGAGGATGGCGGAGAAGATCGGGAGGAGGCGGAGGAGGAGGTGGAGGAGGAGGAGAAGGAGGAGGATGAGAATGAGGAGGAGGGGGCACCTGGAAAGCCTCTGGGGGCACTCTTGGGGCCTCCTGGGAGCTTCCTGGGAGCCTCTTGAAGCCATCTTGGGGGCCTTCTGTGGGCCTTCGTGGGCTTCTCGGGGGCCTCTTTGGCTGTGCTGGCTCCTGGTCCGTCTGACGCCGTCGGACGCCGTCTTGGGGGCCTCTCTGGGCCGATGTGGGGCCGTCTTGGTGGGCTCCTGGCCCGTCTGACGCCGTCGGAAGCCGTCTTGGGGGCCTCTCTGGGCCGACTTGGGGCCCTTGTGGAATGCTCCAGGGCCGTCTTGCAGGCCATCTTGCGCGTTCGAGAAACCTCTTGGGCCGTCTTCGGGTCCTCTTGGGGCCGTCTTGGGGGCCTCTCGGGCCGTTCTGGGGCCATCTTGGAGGCCTTTTGGGGGTCTTGGGGCGATGTGTGGGGGCTATATTTGGTGTCTCGGGCCGTCGGAAGGCCGAAGCGAAGCAACAACTACCAAAATCCTTCAACGCCTAAGGGACAACCCATGAGTTTGGCCTCTTCGCGCCTCGAGGATGCCCTCTTGGAGGTCTCTTGGGCCGTTGTGGGCAATCTTGGAGCCATCTTGGGCCGTCTTGGTGGGCTCCTGGCCCGTCTGACGCCGTCGGCATCTTGGGCCGTCTCGGTGGGCTCCTGGCCCGTCTGACGCCGTCGGAAGCCGTCTTGGGGGCCTCTCTGGGCCGACTCGGGGCCCTCTCGGGGTGCGCCTTAGAGGCCTCTTGGGCGGTCCTGGGGCCATCTTGGAGGCCTCTTGAGCGCTCTGGGGGCGATCTTGGGGGCCTCTTGGGCCGTCTTGGCCCGTCGGAAGGCCGAAAGGGAGCAAACCTTTTTGAGGAAATTAATGATGTGTGCCTCTTCGGGCCCTCCTGGGGGACCTCTCGTAGGCCTCTTGGGCCGTTTTGGAGGCCTCTTGGGCCCTCTTGGAGGCTTCTTGGGCGGACTTGGAAGTATCTTGGATCCTCTTCGGCCGTTCTGGAGGCCATCTTCGCCATCTTGGAGGCAGCTTGAAGGCCATTCTGGGCCACCTTGGCGGTCTTGAAAGCCATGTTGAGCCGTCTTGGGATGTCTGTTGCGAGAGTTGGGCGCCTTGTGGGTCCTTTCGGGAAGCCGGCGGGACGGGCCGGAGCCCGGGGGAGGGTCCTTCTTGGAAACAGAACAAAAACCAAGAGCGATGTGATTCAGCACGCTGGGCACCCCTGTGACAAGCCAGCATGGGGCGGCAGATGACGGAAAGCGCAGCGTCGCGATCCGTTTGTCGGGAGAAATAGGAAGGGGGAGGGTAGGCAACCCGGGCGTCATATCTAACCGCCCCCAATTACAGCAAATTTCGGCCCAAGACGGCCACAGTCAGCCCCAAGAGCGCATAAGAGGTCCCAAGACGGCCCAGAGGGCCCAAATATGGCTCCAAGGCAGCCCAAGAGGCCCCGAAGGCGCCCACAACGGCTCAAGATGGCCAGAAGACGGCCCAAAACGAGGGAACACAAACCGAAAATCCGAGCCTCCGCCCCAAGGGGCCCCCAGGAGGCCCCAGGAGGCGCCTGAGAGGAGGCGCCCAAGAGGCCCCAAGAGATCCCCAAGAGGCCCAAAAGAGGCCCCCAAACGGCTCCGCAGAGGCGTCCAAACTGCCTCCAAGAGGCGTCCAAACTGCCTCCGTAGCCATTTTGGCTCAAGCCATTTTGGCTCAAGTGGGCCAAGGGCTCAAGGGCTGAAGGGCTGTACCCCTTAAATTCCCGATCGCACCTGTCGTCGATTACATACCACATCTCGCCAGGATGGAGGGTGCTCCGCAGTGGGCTCGGAATGCAGCAGGCGATCACGACCTCGATGCGCGAAGAGCTGAAGCCTTTGCGGGGGGGCCTCACAGGGTGTAAGACTCGTCTTACTTCAGTAGAGGACAAATGCAGCAAGTTCGAGAAGAGAATGGATGAGTTTGATGAGCGCTTGTCTGCTGGTCCAGCCTCGGGGGCATGGGAGCGCGTCGTTCCTGGACATCAGAGGCTTCTGTGAGTTCAAGCAGGTCAAGGAGCTCGGAGCTACCCGTCCCCAGGCGGCCATCCTCGTGAAGTCCCGCATTGATGTCCTCCCGGAGGAGCTTCGCGACAAGGTGCATCCCTTCGAACTCGAGTGCCCTCGGAACCATGAGATCCGGATCCCTACCGCGCCACGGTAACTAGAGGAGATCGCTAACACATAGCGGGAGTTCTTGAAGAAACCGGAGAAGCAAGAGAAGCTTCGGAAACAGTTGCGGATTACTATCGAACGTCACCCCGACATCCAGAAGCAGTACGAGGTGACGGGGAAGCTCTTGGACTTCACGGTGGATCTCGCAGACGCAGCATCTACGGGTGAGGCCTCATTGTTCCCGGAGTTCTAGGGCACCCTGAAGCAGCCAGGGGACGGCAACCAGGCTCCCGGCACGATTGCGATCGCTGGTGTCCGCCAGGGGGGCACCGTGGAGTGGCACCAGGCCAGGTTACGAGCTCTTGGATTGACCTCGGCGGAGGAGGGGATTCAGAAGCTCCTCGCGTTCAAGTTCAAGTAGCGGGGCCTCGAGGGTAATTCGGGGGCCGCAAAAGATAAGATCTCGGTTGTGACTTTTAATACCTGTGCGAGAATCCGGCCATGGGAAAATCGATTGCTCGAGTTTTGAAGCGTTTGCGCTGGGAGGATTCTGTTATTTGCTTACAGGAAGTTCCAAAATGGATCGATGGCTCTCGCTCTGGTGGGTATTTTGCGCTCGCTAGTCGATCACACTCTGATCACGAAGAGGGCAGGGATTCGATTGTGGCTTCCTCATTCCGAGCGGCCTGAATCCGTGTATCCGCGAGGTGAGACATCGACCCTACTGGAGTGGAGTTCTGTTGCAGGGGATATGGATCTTCAGCGTCCACTTCCTGCACGCGCCCTTCGAGGACACTGGGGAATCGCACGTGGGCGCGATTCGACGTGAGAAAAGAATTGCACGAAGCATGTTATCTTAAATCTTGTAAACTCAATTTTTCTATTCTTGCTGGTTTTGATGCGAACGTGACGCTGCCGCCAACTTATTGCGGCCTCACGGGGGCGAATACCCTCCCGGCGTTGTCAAGCCATACGGCTGCTATGCAACATGCCATATTGTTTTGGATGGAGCAGTTCTGGCTGAGGGCGCTGAACACGTGCGGGCAACACCGCGACACCTCGGATCTATGGAGCTGTGTCTGGACCCGGGCTCTACGCAGACGTTCCCAAATCGATTTCGCGGCGGTGAGCGGGGACATCCAGGGCGAGGCTGTTGCTGCACGTGAGTGTCACGTTCGAGAAAATGCTTTCCTCCAGAAGCGTATGGACCACCGCATGGTGGAAGCACATTTGCGGATCCAGCAAATTACTCTGCAACCGCAGACCCGCTCTCCAGCGGCCCTGAGAGCGTGGGAACCCGCCGACGACAAGGCCCGCCTAGAATTCCAGAGGAAATGCACGGGGCCCCAATTCCTGGCAGCCACCCTGGAGGACGTGGAGTCGAAACTATTATTGCTGGCGCGTGACGCGGTGCTGAAGCATCCCGCATCTTCGGTTCCAGGGGGCGCTCGTGTTCCGTGCCTGTCAGCCACTTCCTCGAAGATCCCACCAGCAAACGGCGCGCGCTGCAGGCGCGTCGCGCGAGGGAGAGGGCGTACAGACATCGGTTGAAACTCGGACGCTGTGCGCGAGATTTTCTGGCACGCCTACTTCTTTCGTGATTGATGGCACCATGGAGCACAACAGACAAGAGTGGTTGAGGGGTCTCCGCACTTTCTGGGAGCATCGATTTGGTGACGAGGCTAACCCCGTCGAGTCCCAGAGGCACCGCCTGAGCGGGTTTCATTATGATTTTTTTAGCTGAACAGCTGGACGGCAGGAGGCGAGACAACTTAGAACTCTGGGACTTTCTTCAGGGCCTTGCAAGACTTTCCCCCGGCTCAGCGCCGGGAGTCGACGGTGTGCCTCCCGAGGTGTACTCGGCGTTGCCATGGTTGGCCGTCTTACGTCTATTCAACACGTTTTCCGATCGCTTCCATTTTACTGGAAGATTTTGGAGTTCGTTGGATTGCCGAAGCGCCGCGGGGCGCGACATTTCATTGATATTCGTTGGATTTGCAAGAACCCAGTGCTGCAGAAGTGGTTTATCCAGTCGAGTCTCCTTCGCGTCGGGCAACTACTCCGACCTTCTCGCGTGCGTGGGTGCGGATTCTAACGACACTCGAATGTGTCCATGGTGATTGGGTTGGTCCGCCAGCTTTTTTTTCTCGCCGATGTCTGGAATCCTCTTCTGGTATCCTCCCAGGACGTGGCAACGGCCTTCGACTCGATGGGGCGCCCTCTCATTGCGGAAGCTCTGCGCGCGCGGGGCGACGGCCCAGTCGGCGACCATCTTCATGAGGGAGCTCACCGGGCTGAAAACCGCCATAACCGTACCAGAAGTAGGCATAATCGAGCCTATCGATTACAGCAAAGGCGGCAAGCAAGGGGGGTGGAGACGCCAGAGGAATGGAAGGCTGTCGTTGACCGTGCCTAGGAGCCGCTGGTGCGTTCTTGGACTGCGAGGGGAATCGGCTTCCGACTTGATCCCCCCGAGGGGGCGCGATACCTATCGCGCGCAGTGTGGGCGGACAACAGATTCATCTTCGTTTCGGACCTGGCGATGA